TAAGTTTTAAGTCCACATCTTGTAGGGAAAAAAAAAAGAATATATATATATTTTCCGGATTTCTTTCAGATGTTTTTGTGATGATGGTATTTCCATCAGTATCCGTAACTTTTTTTTATTTTTTGGTTAATTCCAGAAATTGGCTGTCGGAGGTTTGCCCGAGAAAATATTAACTGCTATGCAGTTGGTTCAAGATGAAGTTGCCAATGAAGAAGCAGCCTTAATCAAATGCCATGATGCTGTTTCTTGCGTACGGGAAATAGAGAAAGATGCTGTAAATGCTTCTTCTCAAGGTTTGACATGATTTACTTTCTTATAAAAATTATGCTTAACACGGACCTAATGAGATAGTATCCAACTTTTCCGAAGAACTTAATTACCGGAATTACTATATATAACTGTGGATAATACGAAGATTGAGTTTCTTTTCGGATGTTATGATGCAAATTACATAGAACTTTCTTAATGTGTAGAAATGTGAAATACGAGTCTGTTTATCCTCATAATTAGTTATGTCACTTCTGAAAATGGTAATTCAAATTGTGCGGGCAACACCAAAAATGAAGTTTTACTGAAGTTCAGCCCAAAAAATGACGTATTGAGTTTCTTTTCGGATGTTAGTGATGCAAATGACATCGAACTTTCTTAATGTGTAGAAATGTGAAATAAGAGTCTGTTTTTCCTCATAATTAGTTAAGTCACTTCTGAAGATGGTAATTCAAAATGTGCAGGCAAGCCCAAAATTGAAGTTTAGCCCAAAAATGAAGTTTACTGAGGTTTATTGATGTTGATCTGTCACTTTTTCCTCCAGGCAATATGCAGGCTGAAGTGATAGATAATATAGAGAAACAGGAGAATATGATTCAGCAGTGCATTAGTGAACTCGACAAGTCAGAAGAAATTAGAGTTGCACTAGTTTCCCAGCTTAAGGAAGCCCTTCAGGATCAAGTATGGTTCTATTCGCAAATCCTTTTGTTTTCAATTTGAAGTCGAGTTCTCATTCATGTCGGTTTTAGCCCAAATATTGTTAGTTTTTTTTTTTTTTTTTGGGAATTACGAGCCCCCCTTTATTTTACCCAGTTCAAGATATTATACCTCTTTACATAATCAGAGTGGTTAAACTGTGCATGCACATCTATTCGAACCTTTATGATGCAATACAGCAATAGCAAATTCATGCATTAGATTATGAAATATTTTCTTGGTTAAAATTTGTCGTTTAAATGTCAATGGCCATTGATGGAATGCAATATTAGTTTCATTTGATTAGCTAGATCGGCTATAGTATTGAATACAATACTATTTGCCCGGTTCTAACATTTTCTTAAAAATCTGATTCTTTATATGGCTTTGCAGGAATCGAAACTCGAGCAGATTCGTAGTGAGTTACTTGTATGCATCTCTCTCTCTCTCTCTCTCTCTCTCTCTCCATACCCAAAAATAAAATCGATAAAATATATATCTGGTTTATTCGAAAAAATTCGCAGGTTGCTCGAGGCCAGATTCAGCAAGCAGCCAACATTCGGCTCCGGCTAACATCTGTCCCACCATCAATCAACCAGCCGGCTGAAAACCTGGCCCCACCACCACCACCACCACCTCCGACCACCACCCATTCACCGTTCTCAGCCTCCGCTGATGAGGACAGCAAGAGATCCGCTGCTGCTGCCGTGGCCGCCAAGCTGGCGGCCTCGACTTCCTCCGCCCAGATGCTCACTTCCATTCTCTCATCCCTCGTGGCCGAGGAAGCTGCCTCTGTGAACGCGGGCCTTAAGAGGCCCAGGCTCGAGCCCGAGGGCCCGCCAGGCCCATCACCACCCTATTTCACAAGCATGCCACCTGGCACGATGATGATGCAGGCAGTTTCTCAAGTTCAGACCCAACCTTTCATGCCGCCACCTCAGCCTCCGGCGCCGCCACTTGTGCCTTTTAGTTACGGGCCGGGATCTTTTGCTTTGGCCCCTGGACCGCCAGGTCAGCTGACTCAGCCGAGTGGGCCCCAGCAGGGGCAGCCGCAGGCAAGCGGAGGTTATTTTAGGCCAGTGGGGGGAGGGTTCTATGGGCAGCCGCCGACCACACCGCCCGTACACCGCCAGTGAGAGTGTAATCAGACATTTTTGTACATTTACAGGAGAGTTAATATATGGGTAGAAACTGTAGACTTTTTTTTTTTCTTTTTTTTTTTTGGAAGTTTTAATTTCAGTTTTACTAAGTTCTGTTATTATCTATCTGCAGTACTGTTGGTTAACATTTGGTTCTTTCACCTTGTTGTGAATTGTGTTATACTTGTTTCTAGGGCTAATGTAAAACTGAATTGTAGAATCTCATCTCTTTTTGACTATATTTTAGTATGCTTGGCTAGAAATGTTGAATCCATGTCAGCAGCATTATGCTGGATTTAGGTCTCGAATTAGGAAAAAAAGTAAAAAAATCATGTATTTATATGCTGACATAAAAGAATATTTAGTTGAATCTGCAAATATAGAAAAGGAATGTACATGATCCACTGAAACAAGCTTACAAACCCCGACGGAATGACTTCGTAAGGAGACCGTAGCATCTTTCTATATTATATTCCCATCTTTTTCGACTTTTAGGTTCCAAGTACATTCCTCTTCACGCTTTTCCTAATACACTTGGCTCTAGTTCGAGCAGCCCATTAGCTTTTCCTATGGACTTTAATTCGGACACGAGATAACCTGCCTTGCCAGCAAACGCGGGACACAACTCCCGGTCGAAGCTTATCCTGACGATAGCTTTGCACGGGATGCTATCGAACCCGTACAAAATGTACTCGAGCTCCGGGACCGTGATGTTGAAAATCCCTCACAATTGGGCCCTTGGAACAGTTCTCCACAGGTGTTCTTGCACTTGAGCTTGACGAGCCTACCGTTCATCTTGCGGGCCCAGTCGAGGCCCACTGGGTCCTTTGGGCAGTTGTCGTCTCGCGTGCAGCACAGCTGGCCGGCAACGGTCACTACAAAAAAAACTCTTACATTCCAACGGAAATTTTCCGTTGGAATTCTTTATATTTTCCGTTGGAATAGCTATTCCAACGGATATTCCTCCGTTTAAAAATTCGTGAGAAAAACGGCCGCTGGAATAGCTAAAATCCTATAGAAATAAATTCCTACAACTATTCTAACGGAAAAAATCCGTTGGAATTTCTCAACCATCCAACACTTATTCTAACATAAAATTAAGTATGTTGGAATATTTATTGGAGTTTCCAACGGAAACTTTTGCCGTTGGAATTTTTTGTTGGAATTGAAGTGTATTCTTGTAGTGGGTGAAACCCTTGTTGATGTTCGGGTCTATAATGAGAGCGGCATGTTCGGGTCTATAATGAGAGCGGCATGTGATGACGTCCGCAATGACGACGCGCATAGAAGGAGCACGATGGTGAGTGAGGTGGCGGTGGCCGGGCGGGTCCCCACGAAGGCCATTGTTTGCTGATTTACGAGTGTGTGTAGGTTGGCTGTCACTACAAGAAAATGATGAAATTCCAACGGAAATATATTTCAAAAGAATTATTCCAACGGCAATTCCAACGGATATTTCAATACTATTGTTTCCGTTGGAATTTTTCAATGAATTCCAACGAAAATTCCAACGAAAATATTCCGTTGGAATGGGTTTTCCATTGGAATTTCCGTTGGATTTTGACGATTCCAACGGTGGATTTTCCAACGGGGGTGGAAAAAAAATTCCAACAGAATTTGCATATTCCAACGGAAATTCCTACAGTACAAAGCCGTTGGAATTATAGCCGTTGGAATCATCAAATTCCATCTAAAATTCCAATGGAAAACACATTCCAACGGAATATTTCCGTTGGAATTTCTGTTGGAACTATTCCAACGGAAGCTATTCCATTGGAATATCCGTTGGAATTTCCATTGGAATATATTACCATAGGATTTTCCGTTGGAATATAACATTTATTTTGTAGTGTGTTTTAATTAATTGAAGTGTTATAGGATGTCCTGTTCGTGTGGCTGTTTTGATTAATTGAAGTGTTATAGGATGTCCTGTTCGTGTGGCTGTTTTGATTAATAAGGTGGTCCTTAACAAACTTCCCAACAGCAAATAGCAGTATTTTCCGTACTAATAAGGTTTTCATTAAGTACATATGATCTAATTAACGTTAATATCACCTTATAAAGCTTTTATATGATCTATCTAACTCGACTTTCAAGTACACCGAACTTATGAAGAACTATACACAAAAACTTAATTACTTAACTACCCTAATATACATATAGTCTAGCTCATTAATTCCCACTTCAAACTTTCTCTCATGCTATATATGGAGAATGTAATAGAGATCGCTGAAACTCACTCATAAATCACAACACAACACCCATCGATGGCCACCCGGTCGACCCACTCAACCACATTCTCCGCCATCTCCCTAACCATCGCCGTCATATTCCT